ACTTCAGTGTTTTTTTGTAGTGGCTGGTAATGGTCTTTCCTTTCCATTTTTCGTGCTTCCTTCAGGACCTCTTGTAAAGCAGATCTGGTGGTAATGAATTCTCTCAGCATTGCTTGTATGAAAAGGGTCTTATTTCTTCTTCATGTGTGAAACTTAGTTTGGCCAGATATGAAATTCTAGGTTGAAAATTATTTTTTATGAATGTTGAATATGGGCTCCCAATCTCTTCTGGATTGTAGGATTTCTGTTGAGAGTTCCACTGTTTGTCTGATGGGCTTCCCCTTTGTAGGTGACCTGGCCTTTTTCTCTGGCTGCCCTTACAATTTTTTTTCTTTCATTTGACCTTGGAGAATCTGATGATTATGTGCCTTGTGGATGATCTTCTCACGGAGTCTCTTACTGGGGGCCTCCATATTTCCTGAAATTGAATGTTGGCCTGTATTGCTAGGTTGGTGAAGTTCTCCTGGACGATATCCTGAAGTATGTTTTCCAAGTTGGTTCCATTCTTGTCTTGTTCAGGTACCCCAATCAGTAATAGATTCAGTCTGTTTATATAATCCCATATTTCTCAGATATTTTGTTCATTTCTTTTCACTGTTTTCTGTTTTTGTTGGCCTGTATTATTTCAGAAAGACAATCTTCAAGCTCTGAGGTTCTTGCCTCCATTTGGTCTATTCTGCTATTAAAGCTTGTGATTGCATTGTGAAGTTTTTGTAGTATGTTTTTTAGCTCTATCAGGTCAGTTATGTTACTCTCTATACTGGCTATTTTGGCTGTCAGCTCCTGCATTGTTTTATCATGATTCTTAGCTTCTTTCCATTGGGTTACAACATGCTCCTTTAGCTCAGTGAACTTCATTTTTATCCACATTCTGAAGACTACTTCTGTCATTTCAGCGATCTCAGCCTCAGCCCAGATCTGAACCATTGCTGGGCAGGTGTTGCAATTATTTGGAGGAAAGGGAGCATTCCAGTTTCTTTGTTTTTTCTTTTATTTTCTTTCTTTTTTTTTTTGTGCTAATTCTTTCTCATCTTTGTGGGCTTATCTGCCTCTGATCTTTGAGTTTGCTGACCTTTGGATTTTTTTGTGTGTTTTGTTGTTGCTGTTGTGTTTTATTTGTTTTTCTTTGAACAGTCTGGGCACTCTTCTGTAGGGCTGCTGTGGTTTGCTGTAGGTCTGCCCCAGACCCTAGTCATGTTGGTTTTTCCAGTACCTGGAGGTATCATCAGTGAAGGCTGTGAAACAGCAAATATGGCTACCTGCCCATTCCTCTGAGAGCTCTGTCCCAGGGGTTACTGACCTGTTGCTGGCCTGAACATGCCTGTAGGAGGTGGATGGAGTTTCCAGTTGTAAGATCTCACCCAGTCAAGAGGAATGGAATCAGGGACCTGCTTAAAGATGCAGTCTGGCTGCATTTTGGTAGAGCAGCTGTGCTGTGTTGGGAATCCCTTCAGCCCCCAGCTGATTTGGGCTCTTCAAGGCCTACAGCCTGAACCTGCTAAGGTGCCCAAACAGTAAATGTCTGCCCCACCTACTGGGCACTCTGTCCCAGGAAGAAATTAGAACTCTGTTGGCCATAGAACATGGGTGGCGCTGGCTGGAGGCCCTGGCTGGGAGGACCCACCCAGTGAGGAGAATGGATCCGGGTCTGTTTAAAGAAGCAGTCTGGTCATGCCTCAACAAAACAGCTGTGCTGGGGAACTGTGCTGTGGAACTGCCTCTGCTCTGTTCAGTTTGGACTTTCCAATGCCTGCAGGCTGGAAGGGCTGAGTCATCCAAACAACGAAGGTGATGACCCACCCCTCCTATGGGGCACTCTGTCCCAGGCAGACATCAGAGTTCTGTCCATAGAATACAGCTGGGTGGGGGTGGCTGGAGGCCCTAGCTGCGAGGTCCTGCCCAGTGAAGAGGAATGGATCAGGGTTATGGCTATTGTTTTGGCTGGCTTCATAGTATTTCATTGAGTTATCCTATTTGCCATTTCTTATTACTGAACATATTTTTCACCCTCTTAATATCCTCTTACTCCTAACACCCTCTTACTCCTACTCCTGTACACAGATTTTGGGTTACTATCAATAACATCATAAATGTTTTCTCCCTGTCTCATCCCTTACATCTCCATCAAAAGCAAATGCTGTCCTGAATGTTTATAATTATTATTCACTTATAAAGCTTAAAATTTTGTATCACATATTATGTCTAAGGCATATGGTGTTTGATTATACCTGCTTTAAAATTTCATTAGAAAATATGCCATATGCTTTTATTTGGTATTTACTTTTTAATTCAACATAATGTTATTAAGATTCATTCATGCTGTTGTATATGGTTGTCATTCACTTAGTTTTCATTGCTCTCTAATATTATATTTTATTAGTATACTACAATTTATTTATCTGTCCTCCTGACTATGGCCATTTAGATTACTTGAAGTTTTTGCTATATGAACAGTGTTTCCTCCAAACATTTGTGTGCATATCTCATGCATACATGTACTAATTCTGGAGGGATTTTTATATCTAGGAATAGAATTGTTGGATTGTAGGTATGCACATGTTCAGCTTTAAAATGCAATGCCAAAGGACGGTGGAAAGTGATGGTACTATCAGTAACATATAAGAAATTATGACAATAGGATGTTGGATAAATCCTATTTAATAGTTGGCAATATCAGATTTCTTAATTTTTGTAAATTGATTACATGTAAAATGATTTTCTAATTCTAGTCTTCATTTATATTTCCTGATTGTCAGAGAGACAGAGATCTTCTTTTCTTTCTTTCTTTCTTTCTTTCTTTCTTTCTTTCTTTCTTTCTTTCTTTCTTTCTTTCTTTAATATCAGATTTTTAATTTTTGTAAATTGATTGGCATGTGGCCGATTTTGACTTGCCTTAGCGAGTATTTTGATTGTTGGGAGAGATAGACGTGGAGGGGGGCTGAGCAGAGATTTAGGAAAAGGATTTTGCGCTCAGTTGATGAGCTTGGTGGAGCGCGGGAGCGGGCCTGGGTGATGAGCCAGGAGGAGCGGGTGGAGCTTTCTGGGTACTCCTTCAGCTTTCTTTCTTTCTTTCTTTCTTTCTTTCTTTCTTTCTTTCTTTCTTTTTTTTTTGAGAAAGTTCTGTCACACAGGCTGTAGTGCAGTGGCATGATCTCTGCTCACTGCAAGCTCCACCTCCTGGGTTCGCGGCATTCTCCTGCCTCAGTATCCCGAGTAGCTGGGACTACAGGCACCTGCCACTATGCCCAGCTAATTTTTTGTATTTTCAGTAGAGACAGGGTTTCACCATGTTAGCCGGGATGGTCTTGATCTCCTGACTTTGTGATCCGCCCACCTTGACCTCCCAAAGTGCTGGGATTACAGGCGTGAGCCACCGGGCCTGACCAAGACTGAGTATTTCTTTAGATGTTTCTATCTACGTGTGTTTCATGTTTTGTGGTGTGACTTTTGTTCATTTTGTCATATTTGTTATTAATTTGTAGGCATTCTTTGTAATTTCTTGATATAAAATTTTGATCCTTAGTCAATTATATATTCCTGATTCATTTGCAATTATATGCGTGGCGAATATCCTCCCCAGATTACAGCTTACTTTTTGTTTTACTTTTTTAAAGATGTCTTTTGATTAACCCAAGTTTCTTAATTTTACTCTAATTTTTATGTATTTTTTATGGTTATGTCTCTTTGTTAAGCCCTTCCCTACTCCAAAGCAGGAAGAAATTCACATTTATTTTATCATGTTTTAATGTTTTGCTTTTGACATAAAGATCTTAAACTATATAGAGTTATTTTTGTGTAATGTGCATGGCAGGGGTACATATTATTTTTTTTTCTTATCAATAATCACTATTACTAGGTCCTTTTGCTGAACAGTCTCCTCTTTTCACAGTAATCTGCCATACCATCTTTGATAGACACTTAAGTTTAATTTATTTTTAGATCTCTTTCTATGGTCCCCCTTCTGAATACTGTCTTTTCAATTCTTGTATTTGGGTACTGGGTTCACAGGTGTCTATTACATTATTAACATATTTATTAAAAGAAAAATGTTAAATTACAGAGGGTCATGCATCGACCAATGACGAATGTGTCTCATGAATTAAATATTATGATTAATTCAAATCTGTGAGCCTGAGGGCCATCAAAAAGATAAAATAAATAAATAATGCTACAAAGAACAGTCTTATTCATGTTCTTTTTCTCCCTTTCTTGCCTAAGGACAAGTTCCCAGGAATGAGGCAGCAAGTGTATACAAAATACTTTTAAAGGTTTTAACTGTGAAACTTAAATGCTTTCCAAAGGGACATACACATTACCCTTTGTGGCAAAGGGTCTAGCATTTAAATTCAGAGTTCTGGCCCTGGGGCATCCATTGTCCTGTCTTCTTTTGCTCCAGTCTCCTTCCTTACCACTTCCCCACCACACTGATCCTTGTCTAATCCCACTAAGAGGCAATATATTTCTTCTTTGGACCCTGTCTGTACCTGCTAAAGCAGCACCCACAGACTCTACTGCTAGTTGGCCAGATTAAAAGTAACAATGAAACAATTTCTGGCCTCACGTTGGTCTCCCTCTTTTCATTTTTATTACTGATGCTCATTTTCTAGCTAGTTTGCTCTTTCCCCAGATATACTCACAGCTTGCTCTTACGGTTGACTGGTTATAGCATTGCTCAGATGTCACCTTCCTCAGCAAGACCTTTCGAGACCACCCATTTAAAATGGCAACCCCTCACTCTCGATTCCCACTGTTTCCCTCCTGTGCTTTTTTTCCATATAACTTATCACCACTTGTCTGTTTCCCCTTCATCAGAATTTGGAGCTTAGATCTCTTTTGTCCATGGGTGTATTCTCAGCATCTACAATACTTTAAACATGACAGATGCTTTGTGAACATTTGCGAATATTATTACAAACAAAGCACATAGATGTTGTTCAATATGTGTGTCGGATGAATGACTGAAGTCCAGAGGACTCAAGGAACCCACGATTATACTTAACTTTTTTTGGCATCTGTCCCACTGGAGGTCCAGGGGTAGTTGAAGTCTCGGGTAGTCACACTGGAACTGCTGGCTGAAAGACAAAATTATTTTCAGAATCCAGCTTTTTTAGAAAGCTGTAATTTAACTTTGCTTTGATGCACAGAATTTTTAATCTATGTGACTTTGGGGAAATCTGAAATTGAAAATGTGCTTCCCTATGCAGGAATACTAGCTGGCATATTAAGCAAAAGCTCTGTAGGTTAATGCCAGCTTGTCACTGATTTGTATTCTTTTTCTGTTCTTGTCACAAACTCAGATCACTGAGAGTATTGTGAAGACTACTTTAATATTACCTTAAAATCCCTTGACAAATAAGAGGTACAATATAATAACAAATCATCACCCCTTATTTTTTAAGATTATAGAAATTGTCATATCAATATGTAGTCACCATAGAGTAACTCAAAACCAAGATATTAACAAACATCAAATGAAAAATACAGCTGTTTACTGAAACGTCAACATTATAGAAGCAGCAGTAAAACTTGTGAGTGTGTTGTCTCTTTCCAATCATGGAGGAAAACCTTGCTGAACTCACATTGAGGAGTAGTGTTTGGCCTCAAGGCACTCACATCTACAAGGGTCACTGAAGACGTAGCTGGATATCTTATTTTGAAAATAAAATTCCCAAATTATTATATGTATTTACATTCATATGTTTAACTGTGCCACTATATTTAAAAAGAGCCTGGAATATTAGAGTTGGAAGGAATCTTAGCGAACAGCCTCATTTTATAAATGATGAAATTGAACCCAAAAGGAATAATATCCAATATCATTTCTTTGCTATTAACCCAGTTCTCCTAATTCTAAATGTATTATATTCATACTTTCAAAATATATTATATCGGTGTCTACCGTATGCCACTCTATTCCGCATGCTGGGGATATAGCAATAAACAATGAAGACAGGGTCCCCGCTCTCATGAATTCTGCATGCTGGGGATATAGCAATAAACAATGAAGACAGGGTCCCTGCTCTCATGAAACTTACCTTATAGTGAATTTTCACAAATACAACTGTGAAAATATATCTTCACATACTAAATATGGTTTCATATTTACTTCAGTTGTTAGTTTGCAAAGTCATTTCTCCATCTTTATACTCCATAATTGTACATTCTCTTCCTTCCTCCTCACTCCTCCAAAATGAAAGACTGATTCATATTCATTTGAAAATACCTCTATATTTTAGAGCTATTATATATAGCAAGGTAGATTAAAGAAGAAGAAAAATATCCAACCACAGTCCGTTGAAATCATGTTTATATCTCTTGGAAAGAAAAATTTTGAGTACATTTTGTGTGTATTTCTCCTTTGTTCCAAAATGTATTTAAGGTGGTTTATATCAATGTGCAATACAAGAAGATAAAAGCAGAACGGCAAAATAGGAACAAGGAAAATATAGTAGAAAAATTATGTTGAGTCTTGTTGAAACCTAAACAGGGATAGTGGACAAAGTGCATTTCCTGATGTCCTATGCTGTTAGTAGATGTGGGCCCCACATTTGGTCTGACATTTCTGGTAGCAAATGCTAAGAAATAAACAGTAGAGGTTACATGATTGATGAATATAATAAGATAGAAACAGTATTATTATGAATAGCGAGAGAAAAAGTTATTCTTTTTGTTGTGATTAAAAAGAAACTTTTCCCCAGATCGTCATAAAAAGAATGCTGTATAATGTGTAAAGTATCCTATAAAATATCCTTTCAGTATCATAGCCAGTATGTTCATTCATCCTCAAACTTTAGTTAGTAGTGAAGGGCAGCCAGCTTTCCTGGTACCTCAATTATGTGAAAGGGCATGTCTTAAATAGAGAACGTGGGCAATCAAATCAAATGAATAAGTTGGCATTGTGGTTTTTGCATTTATAAGTAGTTCACATTCAGAGGTCAGCAATGATAACCTTTTTTTTTTTGCAAAGCAACGTATCAATGAACTATAAAAAGATACTTACCCACCGTGACTCCATGATTAAAAGAGTCATACATACAAAATACTTAGAAGAGTGCCTGGCATTCAGTAAATGCTAAAAAGTATGTCTTAGAAACTGTAAAACAGGTCACTTGCAGTTTATCAGATGTTGTTAATACCAGCATATTCTAACTATAGGCCACTTGAATCTCCTGAGGAGTTCCACAATTGTCCCATTTTCCTTGGTCTTTTTGGAAGAAAGTTGATCTAAGGTAACTCATTCCTTCTTCCTCAGCCTGGCTCAAGTCAAGAACTACATTCCAAAGTGTTGTACTAGAAAAGGGCTAATAGAAATAAAGAGTGTGATAGTAGGCTGGGGCATTAGCTTTGTGGTAGGGTAGTAACTTCTCACTGGCAGAATCACCTACAATTCTTTTCCTCTGCTATCCCACTGAGCCATCGGTACCAGATTCTTGTGCGGTAATTTTAACTTCTAGCTCACTGCCTCCCACCATTCATCAAAGGCTGTATTAATAGAAAAAAATGCACAAGATTGACTACCTAAAGCATATATGATGCTTTTGTAGATTGCTTTGAACTGAGTATTGAAACCACATTCCTAGTCACTGTGGAATTCCTCTTATATAATAATACTGAGGATTTTCCCATTGGCTGACACTAGATGACAGTCTAATACGATGCCGGGAGGGGTGGGGTCGCCATTGTTCACTTACAGTGAGAAAGTTCCTGGGACTGTGCTCCACCACGCCCTCTAGAGGAGGGTCTCCAGGCTGTCTCTGCATTAAGAGCAGCTGTGCTTCTGGACAACTGCCTTGTCATACCATTTTACAAATCTATGGATCACCAAGTGATTTATAATTTTATTTCTCTCATTGAGAAGACTTTGCTTTTTTCTCTCTGCAGCAATTCCTTCAGTTACCTCTTTTCAAAATTGTATTGTTATGTATTTTTAAAGTTACTTCATATTCCTTTTGGGACAAGACAAGGTAAAAATATAGAGAAGAAAATAAATAAATTAGGTATAAGTAATTTGAACACTGTGAGATACTGAGAGATATGACAGGCTCTTCCTAATGAATAAATATGGTTCTTTCCTCCTTCCTCCCCTCCCTTCTCTCTCTTATGCTGAAATTAATCTCCAAAAGTATTTGCTGAGAGGCATCGTAAGTAAATTCAAAGGAATTGTTTTTAACAATAGTCATAATGAGGATGATGAAAAAGATCTAGGAAATAAACATCAAAGAACTTAATATTTATTTGTAAACTACATGACCACTACCTAGAAATCTCAGTCTAAGAAGCAACTGCCAGCCGCCTTTAAGAATATATCTTACCTGCAAACAACAGACACTTTCCTGTGCCAGCCTGGTTGCCCACACTGGGTGCTGGCACTGACCAGGACATGTGATTTAATTCTGGCAGGAATCTCAGGAATCCTGATGAAGTACAACTTGATTGGGAATTTCATTTATGTTAAAATGACTGTTAAATGTTCTCTTCTGGAGGTCAGAAAATAATGTGACATAAATCATTTCTCAAGGTTTACTGCAGGAGAAGGAGAACTCATCCATTTGATTCTACCTATTATGTTATTTAGGGACCTTGTTGAGGGAGAAACATGCCTGAGGAATGCATGCTGCCTTAATCCTTGTGTGACTATGTCTCTGCTCCAACTTAGACATCTATGTTGCTTTACCCTTCTCACACACAAGACTGTGGAATACATTGAGGGCTGAATACATGCCAAGGGTGAGGAACAAAAGGATCAATGATACCTAGTCTCCTAGTCTCTTTCCCCAGGGAGCACAAAGTTATTTCGTTCGTATTGGTCTCCAGCTGAATGTTCTTTAGACTTTCACTTGAGGGTCCGAACCAACTTGCACAGGTTATTGAGAGAATGATTCCTTTATTATGAGACCTCACTCATTATGTAGAATTCAGAGTTAAAGTTATTTAGAGAACTATGTAGTTCCTAGATAAATTAAATCTATCCCTCTCTCTTCCACTTTACACTATGGTTCAAGGTTAAGGCCCCTTCATATTCCATGACCTGATCTCTAACAATCTTCACATAGTCCTCTCTTGCTACTCCCTGCATACATTCTTTCATTTGTTCAACCCAATATCTGGAAGTCTCTACATTTCAGGCATTGTGCTTGGTACTGGGAATACTGCTCTCCTGGGGTTTAAGTTCATGGAGGAGATGGACATCAAGCAGAAGATCACGTAAGCCAATTCAAACACTAGAACATATTAAAGGGGGGATGGCCCAGCCAGAGTCCCAGGAAAGCTTTCCCAAGGAATGTAGTGGGAGATTGTGGCCAGTGGAGGGAGGGTGGGAGCTTTCAGGCAGAGGGCATAGCCAGTGCAAAGGCCCAGTGTGTGGTCTCATATATTGTGGATTAGTAATAGCCATTTCTGGCACCTGTCCATTCCAGGGCTGGGCTTTTGTAAACCCTCAGGGTGTTTTTTCCATGTGCTGAGTTGAACTGGATGTGAGAGCTAGGTGGGGTGTTACCTGCCAAAGTGCATATCCGAGACATAAGCAGCAGCAGGAGAACAGTGATCAAACTGTGGCACAGGGTGCAGCAACACTGCTTATTTTTTAGGAGTTTTGTTTTGTTTTAAAAAGTCCCTTCTTAAAACCTGACCTGGAGATTCTGTAACTGTATAAGAACATGTCTGACTGTCTCTTGATATCATGTAGAGAATTAAAAATATTTTATTTGCATTCCTCGTAGCTATGTTTTTGAAAGATTCATATTGATCATGTATTTCCAGATGTGAGAAAGCTTGCTTTGTACCTTTTGTTTTAAGGCTAAGTTTATATTTCACAACATAGCAAAATCTCTTCGAATATCAATAGTGTGTTCTAAATCATGAGATACTATATAGGCAAGTAAGATGCCAAACTCTGTGATAGGAAGTTGATGGCTTTGTTTGCTGATTGTTTATTCCTTCTTCAATGTGAATGTTTAGTATTATTAAATCTTGCAAGTATCCAGAGTTATACTATAATGACCCATGTCTCCAGGAAATAAGATGAAATTTAGAGGTAAGCACTACTTCACACAAAATGTTTTGTTTATACTAG